AGATACCATGTGTAATACATAAAGTCACACTAAAATTGACCACGGAATCCAAATATGCAATAATATACAGGGGTTCCTATTAAAAAAAACATAACTTTGATATAAATCACCCTGTAGAACAATTAGAATTTCATCGAAAATATTTTTAGGTTGTAGTCTTAAAGGTCCTACACCATGTCCCGAAAATGAATTTTAAAAATGTACCCTAATAAACCCGCAATCTTCCATTCACGCACTAATGGCCCACCCTGTATATCTCAAAATATCAAATTTTTTTTAAAATTTGATTCAAAATTTTTACGGCATTTTTTCAAAATATTTTTTTGTTATGAATATTTTGAAGTTTTTTCAAAATATTGACATTATTTTCTCAAAATATTCCAAATTTTTTTTTTTAATTGAACAAAAATTTTTCCAGTGTTAACAATATTTTCTCAAATTTTTTCATTTATTTATAAACATTTTAATTTTCCTCAAAATATTCTGACGTTATATTCTCAAAATTTTACATATAATCTCAAAATGTCAACCTATTTGTCTTTTATAGTTTTAAAATTTTACCAAACACCCTATATAGCTAAAATTCTGTAATTTGTAGATAAAACCCGAAATGGCTTGTGTTAAGTGTGTGGACACCTTTAGAAAAAATAATCTACTTCTACAAATGTTTTTTTGTATTGTTCATGTTTTTTGTTGGGATGTTTTGTTTTTTGATTGTTTTTTGTGCGGAGGTAGGTTTGTTTTTCGACCTAGTGGGTATGAAAGCGAATATTTTTTATTAAATGCAATATTTGTTAGTAAGCTATGTGTATTTTGATTGTATCAATTAAATTAAAAATTTATTTTATTGTTTTATTTCTGTTCCTGACCGTAACGATATATTAGACCCGGATGGGGAAAATACTGACAAATTTTGTACATCCTTTTGGTAAAAATAAATTCGTATAAATCCTTTTTAATACTTTATACGATTCTCAAAAATCTTCATAAGGTACATTTAGTATCAGAATAACAGAAGAGCAAGTAGGTATTTTAAAAAAGATGGGAACATTTTTAAAAAGTTACTTTTTATGACAATTTTAATGACAAATTTTGTATCAGGATAACAGAAAAGTTAGTGGATATAGAAAGTATTTTAAAAAAGATGGGAACATTTTAAAAAGTTGCATTTTATAACAATTTTATTGGCAAATTTTGTATCAGGATAACAGAAAAGTGAGTGGATATAGGAAGTATTTTAAAAAAGATGGGAACATTTTAAAAAGTTGCATTTTATAACAATTTTATTGGCAAATTTTGTATCAGGATAACAGAAAAGTGAGTAGGTATAGAAGGCATTTTAGAAAAGACAGGATTTTTTTAAAGTTACATTTTTGGACAATTTTAATGACAAAATTTGTACCTACTCGCGTATTTTAAAAAAAGGCAAGAACATTTTTCAAAAGTTAACTTTTATGACAATTTCATTGACAATGTACCTATATACTAATTTTATTAACGAAGAATGTTTTTATTAGTAACTTGAAGTACGTAGCAATTGAAATATTAATTCTAAAAAGTGTACGTTTCGACGATTTTCAACGGTTTTTATAACGTTTTTCGATGTTTTCAATGGTTTTTGACGTGTTTCAACGTTTGTCAATGTTTTTTAGACTTTTTTAACGATTTTAAACGTTTTTATAACATTTTTAGACATTTCGACGATTTTCAACGTTTTTAATAATAGTTTTAGACGATTTTCGACGTTTTCAATAGTTTTTACCGGTTTTTGACGTTTTTCAATGTTTTTTTTATAACATTTTTCGACGTTTTCCAATGTTTTTTTTATAACATTTTTCGACGTTTTCCAATGTTTTTTAACGTTTTTTATAACATTTTTAGACGTTTCGACGATTTTAAACATTTTTTATAACATTTTCAGACGTTTCGACGATTTTCAACGGTTTTTATAACATTTTTAGACGTTTTTTGACGTTTTCAATGGTTTTTACCGGTTTTTGACGTTTTTCAACGTTTGTCATTGTTTTTTAGACGTTTTTATAACATTTTTAGACGTTTCTTACGATTTTCAACGGTTTTTATAATAGTTTTAGACGTTTTTCAACGATTTTCGACGTTTTCAATAGTTTTTACCGGTTTTTGACGTTTTTCAATGTTTTTTTTATAACATTTTTCGACGTTTTTCAATGTTTTTTATAACATTTTTAGACGTTTCGACGATTTTAAACATTTTTTATAACTTTTTCAGAAGTTTCGACGATTTTCAACGATTTTTTTAACATTTTTAGACGTTTTTCAACGTTTTTGACGTTTTTCGATGTTTTCAATGGTTTTTACCGGTTTTTGACGTTTTTCAACGTTTGTCAATGTTTTTTAGACGTTTTTTATAACATTTTTAGACGTTTCAACGATTTTAATCGTTTTTATAACATTTTTAGACGTTTCGACGATTTTCAACGTTTTTCAACGGTTTTTATAATAGTTTTAGACATTTTTCAACGATTTTCAACGTTTTCAATAATTTTTACCGGTTTTTGACGTTTTTTAACGTTCTTCAATGTATTTTTATAACATTTTTAGACGTTTTCCAATGTTTTTTTTTTTTACGTTTTTTATAACATTTTTAGACGTTTCGACGATTTTAAACATTTTTTATAACATTTTTAGACGTTTCGACGATTTTCAACGGTTTTTATAACATTTTTAGACGTTCAACGATTTTTAATGTTTCTCAACAGTTTTAGACTGTGTACTCTGACTTTTGACAGGGTCAACCATTCTCTCTTACTTCAAAAGCTCGATAAATATGGCATAAATGGGGTCGTACTACAATGGATTAGTAGCTATCTTACGAATAGAACTCAAATGGTTAGAGTAAACCATCACTATTCTAACTCTTTTCAAGTTACTTCAGGTGTTTCTCTAGGATCACACCTTGGTCCCTTATTATTCAACTTATTTATAAATGACATCGTTCATTGTTTTCAGTATGGCAAAGCACTATTGTTTGCAGATCATTTAAAAGTTTTCCTAATTATTAAAACCACTGATCTATCTTAAACCCCACTGGTGGTGTAACACTTTTATTCCTTCTAAATTTTACGTCACCCTCCAAACATTTATTTGGACTATAATTTTGAATTTTTAATCTGAGAATCTTCAGTTGTTCTGTGTCCCATTCTTAATGAGATAGTATATAGGAAGTATTTTAAAAAATGCGGAAACATTTTTAAGTTTCATTTTGACAATTTTAATGACAAAATTTGTATTATTTAGGACCACATGTGTCATTGCATTTCAACTTTTTGGCTGCTTTTAAAATTTGACTTTCTGTTATTTCATTTATATTTAAATATAAGACGTCTTTAAGAAGTCTTATTAATAGCTTATAATCGTCTTAAATAAGACGTCTAATTAATAGCTTATAATGAACTTGTGAAGCCTTAAATAAAACATCTTTAAGAAGTCTTATTAATGGCTTATAAAGGTCTTTAAATAAGCTATAAATAAAACGTCTATAAGACGACTTATTAAGGTCTTGTGAATCCTTAAATAAGACGTCTTATTAATAGCTTATAATGGTCTTTAAATAAGACGTCTTTATAATAGCTTATAATGAACTTGTGAAGCCTTAAATAAGACATCTTTAGGAAGTCTTATTAATGGCTTATAATGGTCTTTAAATAAGCCATAAATCAAACGTCTTTAAGACGACTTATTAATAGCTTATAATGGTCTTGTGAAGCCTTAAATAAGACGTCTTATTAATAGCTTATAATGGTCTTTAAATAAGCTATAAATAAAACGTCTATAAGACGACTTATTAAGGTCTTGTGAATCCTTAAATAAGACGTCTTATTAATAGCTTATAATGGTCTTTAAATAAGACGTCTTTATAATAGCTTATAATGAACTTGTGAAGCCTTAAATAAGACATCTTTAGGAAGTCTTATTAATGGCCTATAATGGTCTTTAAATAAGCCATAAATCAAACGTCTTTAAGACGACTTATTAATAGCTTATAATGGTCTTGTGAAGCCTTAAATAAGACGTCTTATTAATAGCTTATAATGGTCTTTAAATAAGACGTCTTTATAATAGCTTATAATGAACTTGTGAAGCCTTAAATAAGACATCTTTAGGAAGTCTTATTAATGGCCTATAATGGTCTTTAAATAAGCCATAAATCAAACGTCTTTAAGACGACTTATTAATAGCTTATAATGGTCTTGTGAAGCCTTAAATAAGACGTCTTATTAATAGCTTATAATGGTCTTTAAATAAGCTATAAATAAAACGTCTATAAGACGACTTATTAAGGTCTTGTGAAGCCTTAAATAAGACGTCTTATGAATGGCTTATAATGGTTTGGTTAGTCTTAAATAAGTCATAAATATTACGTCCATTATTTTTATACTGCTAATTCTATAACCTGTTTATAATAATATAAAATAATTTTAAAATGGGTATCATCGTGAACGAAGGACGTCGAATATCTTGGTTATTAAAATTAGTAGAATAACCTTATAGGTTATAAAAAATGCAAAAAATAGAATTAAAAATATTTATTGATAAAATATCTATTCGATCACTCCTCTTTAAAAAAATATACATATACCGACGAATTGAGAACCTCTTCCTTTTTTGAAGTCGGTTAAAAATAGTCCATTAGTACATAAACGAATTGGCGCTTTAAAATTAGCATTTTACGATAAATTTAATTGCAAATTTCATCACCTACTTATCTACCTATATGAACAATTTCCTATTAGAGTTATTGGTATCAGAGGCAATATAAAATAGTCACCAGACTTGACGTCGCTTGCTTTCTATTTTTGGGAATACTTAAAAGCAATTTGTACAGGTCCGAGTTCGATCAAGCTACCAACATGGATGAATTACTTCAAAAAATTATACAATTCACACCCAAGCAACTCAATTGTATACTAGGTTTGGTTTTTGTTTAGCCCAAGCTGGTGGAAAAATAAGAAACACAAAAATCATATAAATAATACATTTAATAACAAATATATTGTATAAGAGTATCATAAATAGTACGCACTTAAAAACTGTTCAAAAATACTGATTTTTACCCGAAGAATTAGAATTTTTTTTTGAATTCTAATAACTGATTAAAATGCCTTCCCTCTCTTATATAGGGCTAGACAAAATTAGCGCAAAAAAAGGTTTACGGCTTTATTGTACAAGTAACCAAAAAAAAATAATCACAAGTTTTTTTAATGTCATTATTTTTTGAAAAAACACCTTTTTCGATAAGCGAATAGAAAACATAAAAATCAATATTTTAAAAATAAACCTAGATGGTAAAATTAAATAGTAAGCTAACCAACTCCTAAATTGACACTGTCCGTTTTTATTTTCGTTACTTGCTCAATAAAGTCAAAAATCTAGTACTTTCACCCTGTATAAGAGATAACCAAGTTGCAAAAAAAGATAAAACTATCTTGTAATAAAATTCGAGAGATTGAAATTGATTGAAGCTGATAACGAATATGTCAACTATTTTGTTGTTTACCAGTCCAACTCTTGAGGTAGACCACCAGGGTATTCTCCTGTTAGACAAGCTGTACAGTGTCCAACAGATTTTGTTGTGGGTTTAATTTCTTTTCTGACTGCTTTTACTAAACCGTCAACACTTAAATACTCAATAGTATCAGCATCTAAAAATAAAAATCTGTGATATACAGGGTGTTCCTTAATGATATGCGAAGGTTTAATGAAAAATTAATTTTATAAACTATAGTCCAAATATCATTTTTTTTTTTTTCATTCTTCAATAATTACAATAATTTTCTTGGACTATACAATAGATTTTATTTTTTTACTCAAAAACTGAGCAATATAGGAAAATAAATCAAGAGACACTTTAGGTTTAAAATTAAATAAGGAATTTAAAAATAAATTTAGTTTGGGGAAAAACCATTGGCGTACCATTTTTTTTTCATTCTTCAATAATTACAATAATTTTCTTGGACTATAAAATAGTATTTTTTTATTCAAAAACGGAGCAATATAGGAATTTAGAAATAAATTTAATTTGGGAAAAAAGCATTGGCGTACCATTTTTTTCTTCAAAAATATTAAAACTAGTTCCCGTACGTTGAAAATTATTTTTGTATTGAAATGTATGTCACTAAATATTAAAAATAGAAATTCTCAAGAAGTTAAGAAAATATTATTAATTTTTCATGTAGATTCACACCCTTAAATATTTGTATATCATTAAGAAACGCCCTGTATAAAATTGTCAATTTTGTACCCATTTGTAATTTTATATTTAGTAAAAAAATGGTCCCATAAATGAATGGATTGTTAAATTTCTTATGATGTTTTTTTAGAATAAGAGAAAATAAAAATTGTCTAAAATTTTCAGTTTTATTAAATATCTCGAATACAGTCCATTTTAAAGAAATTATCTATAGAAGAAGAATTATAGAAAATAAAATAACAAACAACTTTTAATTGAACAATTTTTTAAAAATTTGATTTTTTTTACATTTTGTCAAATTTCTCGAATACGGTCCATTTTAGAAAAATTTTACAGAAGACAAAAATTATAGAGAATAATATAATAAGTAACTTTTATTTGAACAATTTTCTTCTCCAAACGTAAATAACAGATATATTCAATAAAATATAAAAACGACCCCCTATAAAGTACCCTCCCAGATGTTCCGACTCTGCCTAAAATCTAATTAGTTCACCTCAGGCCTGAATAAGGGTTAAGTTTAAAATTTGATGTTTTTCTCATTATCCGTTTTTGACTTTTCTTCAAAATTCGAAATTTGCACATTTTCTCAAATATCTCGAGTACGGACCATTTTAGGAAAATTTTGTACAATACAAAAATTATAGAGAATAATATAATAAACAACTTTTATTTGAACAATTTTCTTCTCCAAACGTAAATAACAGATATATTCAATAAAATATAAAAACGACCCCCTATAAAGTACCTCCCCAGATGTTCCGACTCTGCTAAAAATCTAATCAGTTTACCGCAGTCCTGAATATAGGTTAAATTCAAAATTTGGTGCTTTTCTCTTTATCAGTTTTTGAGTTTTCTTTAAAATTCGAAATTTACACATTTTCTCAAATATCTCGAATACGGTCCATTTTAGGAAAATTTTGTATAAGACAAAAATTATAGAGAATAAGATAAGAAGTAACTTTTATTTGAACAATTTTCTTTTCCAAACGTAAATAACAGATATATTCAATAAAATATAAAAACGACCCCCTATAAAGTACCCCCCCAAATGTTCCGACTCTGCCCAAAATCTAATCAATTCATCGGAGGCCTGAATAAAGCTTAAGTTTAAAATTTGATGTTTTTCTCTTTATCCGTTTTTGAGTTTTCTTCAAATTTCGAAATTTACACATTTTCTCAAATATCTCGAATACGGACCATTTTAGAAAAATTTGTATAGAACAAAAATTATAGGGAATAATATAATAAACAACTTTTATTTGAACAATTTTCTTCTCCAAACGTAAATAACAGATATATTCAATAAAATATAAAAACGACCCCCTATAAAGTACCTCCCCAGATGTTCCGACTCTGCTAAAAATCTAATCAGTTTACCGCAGTCCTGAATAAAGGTTAAATTCAAAATTTGGTGCTTTTCTCTTTATCAGTTTTTGAGTTTTCTTTAAAATTCGAAATTTACACATTTTCTCAAATATCTCGAATACGGTCCATTTTAGGAAAATTTTGTATAAGACAAAAATTATAGAGAATAAGATAAGAAGTAACTTTTATTTGAACAATTTTCTTTTCCAAACGTAAATAACAGATATATTCAATAAAATATAAAAACGACCCCCTATAAAGTACCCCCCCAAATGTTCCGACTCTGCCCAAAATCTAATCAATTCATCGGAGGCCTGAATAAAGCTTAAGTTTAAAATTTGATGTTTTTCTCTTTATCCGTTTTTGAGTTTTCTTCAAATTTCGAAATTTACACATTTTCTCAAATATCTCGAATACGGACCATTTTAGAAAAATTTGTATAGAACAAAAATTATAGGGAATAATATAATAAACAACTTTTATTTGAACAATTTTCTTCTCCAAACGTAAATAACAGATATATTCAATAAAATATAAAAACGACCCCCTATAAAGTACCTCCCCAGATGTTCCGACTCTGCTAAAAATCTAATCAGTTTACCGCAGTCCTGAATAAAGGTTAAATTCAAAATTTGGTGCTTTTCTCTTTATCAGTTTTTGAGTTTTCTTTAAAATTCGAAATTTACACATTTTCTCAAATATCTCGAATACGGTCCATTTTAGGAAAATTTTGTATAAGACAAAAATTATAGAGAATAAGATAAGAAGTAACTTTTATTTAAACAATTTTCTTCTCCAAACGTAAATAACAGATATATTCAATAAAATATAAAAACGACCACCTATAAAGTACCCCCCAAATGTTCCGACTCTGCCCAAAATCTAATCAATTCATCGGAGGCCTGAATAAAGCTTAAGTTTAAAATTTGATGCTTTTCTCTTTATCCGTTTTTGAGTTTTCTTCAAATTTCGAAATTTACACATTTTCTCAAATATCTCGAATACGGTCCATTGTAGGAAAATTTTGTATAAGACAAAAATTATAGAGAATAAGATAAGAAGTAACTTTTATTTGAACAATTTTCTTCTCCAAACGTAAATAACAGATATATTCAATAAAATATAAAAACGACCCCCTATAAAGTACCTCCCCAGATGTTCCGACTCTGCTAAAAATCTAATCAGTTTACCGCAGTCCTGAATAAAAGTTAAATTCAAAATTTGGTGCTTTTCTCTTTATCAGTTTTTGAGTTTTCTTCAAATTTCGAAATTTACACATTTTCTCAAATATCTCGAGTACGGACCATTTTAGGAAAATTTTGTACAATACAAAAATTATAGAGAATAATATAATAAACAACTTTTATTTGAACAATTTTCTTCTCCAAACGTAAATAACAGATATATTCAATAAAATATAAAAACGACCCCCTATAAAGTACCTCCCCAGATGTTCCGACTCTGCTAAAAATCTAATCTGTTTACCGCAGTCCTGAATAAAGGTTAAATTCAAAATTTGGTGCTTTTCTCTTTATCAGTTTTTGAGTTTTCTTTAAAATTCGAAATTTACACATTTTCTCAAATATCTCGAATACGGTCCATTTTAGGAAAATTTTGTATAAGACAAAAATTATAGAGAATAAGATAAGAAGTAACTTTTATTTGAACAATTTTCTTCTCCAAACGTAAATAACAGATATATTCAATAAAATATAAAAACGACCCCCTATAAAGTACCTCCCCAGATGTTCCGACTCTGCTAAAAATCTAATCAGTTTACCGCAGTCCTGAATAAAGGTTAAATTCAAAATTTGGTGCTTTTCTCTTTAACAGTTTTTGAGTTTTCTTTAAAATTCGAAATTTACACATTTTCTCAAATATCTCGAGTACGGACCATTTTAGGAAAATTTTGTACAATACAAAAATTATAGATAATAATATAATAAACAACTTTTATTTGAACAATTTTCTTCTCCAAACGTAAATAACAGATATATTCAATAAAATATAAAAACGACCCCCTATAAAGTACCTCCCCAGATGTTCCGACTCTGCTAAAAATCTAATCAGATTACCGCAGTCCTGAATAAAGCTTAAATTCAAAATTTGGTGCTTTTCTCTTTATCAGTTTTTGAGTTTTCTTTAAATTTCGAAATTTACACATTTTCTCAAATATCTCGAGTACGGACCATTTTAGGAAAATTTTGTACAATACAAAAATTATAGAGAATAATATAATAAACAACTTTTATTTGAACAATTTTCTTCTCCAAACGTAAATAACAGATATATTCAATAAAATATAAAAACGACCCCCTATAAAGTACCTCCCCAGATGTTCCGACTCTGTCCAAAATCTAACCAATTCATCGGAGGCCTGAATAAAGCTTAAGTTTAAAATTTGATGCTTTTCTCTTTATCCGTTTTTGAGTTTTTTTGAAATTTCGAAATTTACACATTTTCTCAAATATCTCGAGTACGGACCATTTTAGGAAAATTTTGTACAATACAAAAATTATAGAGAATAATATAATAAACAACTTTTATTTGAACTATTTTCTTCTCAAAACGTAAATAACAGATATATTCCATAAAATATAAAAACGACCCCCAGATGCATCATAATTTCAATACTTACCAACTTGCTTTGCAAACTCCTTAGTATTCTTCAATTTGTTCATAATCAATTCATCCTTCGTAGGAATATTTATTCCCATAAAGCATGGGTACTTTAATGGCGGACTTGCCACCCTTATATGCACCTCTTTAGCTCCCGCTCTACGTAATAGCTTGATTATCGGTCCTACCGTATTACCGCGGACTATCGAATCGTCTATCAGTATTATTTTTTTACCTTTGACGTTACGTAATATCGGGCCTTTAAAACAAAAAGTATAATTTATTAATAGCCCAGTTTTTGGGGTTAAAATTATCTCGCAAGGGGGTGAATTAGGGAGAGTATTATTATTATTATTATTATATATCTCAGAAACTGTCAAATATTCTACAAAAAATATTGAGTCTATTTGGTTATTTAATATGACCTATAGAACTTGAATATATAAGTCCTGATTTTTGAATTTCCAAGATTGTTTCCAAACTAATAGATTTATAAACTTCAAAATTTCAGAAAATATTTATAAAAAGTGTGGAAACATTATTCTGCAAACAGAATTTTTAAATTTTAACAGCTATTAAAGTTAGAGAGGATTAAAGTTGAATAATTCCTATTTAATAAAAGTTTTATTCCCGATTCAAAAGATGGGAATATAAAAAATATATAATTGAAACTTACTGAATTTTAAGGCAACATTCATTTGCCGTAAACGATTATTTGGTTGAATAAACGTCCTCCCTACATAACTATTTTTTGTAAGAAGTTCCCCAAGAGGTATTCCAGACTAAAAAACACATTTATTACTATTTATTTTTTTTATATTATTTTTCCTAACCTGTTGAGCATATCCAAACGCGGCTGCATTCCCTGATTCGGGTACAGATCCCACCATATCAGCTTCTACTGGGTGTTCTATTGCTAGTTGCATACCACAATGTACTCTTACAGCGTATACTTCTTGACCCTCGAATAAACTGTTTGGTCTAGCGAAATAAACGTATTCGAATATGCAAAAAGCTAGAGATTTGTCTAGTGGTGGGGGTACTATATCGATTGTTTTTAAACCAGCGTGCGTCATTTCAACTATTTCGCCGGGTAGGACTTCTCGTAAATATCTAGTCACCTACAAATGTAGAATTCGTTAAAAGATTAGAAAAAAAAATAATGAAAACACGAGTAAAATAAGAAAAAAAAAAAAAGAAAGAAAAATAAACAAAAAAGATTAGAAAATACAATAGAAAATAAAAAACTAAAAAAAATAAAATAATAAATACAAGCAAAAACAGAAAATAAAACAAGAAATAACAAAAAAAAAAAAACAAGAAAAAAAAACAAGAAAAAAAGAAACAAGAAAGAAAAAATAAGAAAGAAAAACAAGAAAGAAAAAATAATGAAAGAACGAATGAAACAAGAAAAAACCAGTAAAGAAAAAAAAACAAAGAAGAATAAACAAAAAAAAATAAAAAAGAATGAAAAATAAACAAGAAAGATTAGAAAAAAGAAAAAATTAAAAAAATAATAAAAACAATAAAAAAAATAAGAAATACAAGAAATAACAAAAAAAAAACAAAGAAAAAAAGAAACAAGAAAGAAAAAATAAGGAAGAAAAACAAAAAAGAAAGAAAAAATAAGGAAGAAAAAACAAGAGAGAAAAAAAA